GTGGGCCTTCTCTTTGTCTGGAATTCAATTCACCCAACATTTCTCCTGTTATCTTTTCATAATTCTACTGAGAATAGTGTACCGTCTATTTTGCCTTGAGTTCGTCGAGATCACAAGCTTAGCGAAAAATTAACCAATTGAGTGAGTTATACGTGGGAGTGGGGTTGGGGAAAGATCAACTGAAATAGCGGGTCTGTGGACTTCGTTTAATTTTTCAGTTTGCGCCTGTCTCGCACCCGCATAGCATCGCTTGCACGCTCGAAGAAAAATAACTCTTAGCAAAAATAAATAAATAAATAAATAAATAAATAAAAATAAATCAATAAATCAATAAATCAATCAACATCTGTTGACAGTCGATACTGGGGAAATGTTCTGACCCAAAGACTTCGAAGAGGCTTTATTTTTGGCTTGCAAACGAGCGATCGTAAATATGGATTCGCCAGCAAAGAAAATCCTTCAAAGTGATTGGTTTCTACCATACCTTAAAAGAAAACTTTCGGGTGTGAAAATAACTAAAATCATTAGATATGATTGCGACAAACCAACCAGCTCCTCTACTGAATTTATTCATGATGATACTGTTTGTTAACTACTCAAACACTGCTAAACATGAGATTTTTTTCCTCGAAGTTTGCAAGTTCGACTTCGAAGATGGAATTGGTGGCTGGGAGAAGACTGGTACAGCGTTCAACAACCAACCGACCTATGGTGATAACCCTACAGCTCGCGGCTACTCCTCTCCTGCCAATCAACAAGGGGACTGGTGGATTGGGGGATTTGAAAACCGACCCTCTAAAGAAACTTCGCCCGGACGTTCTCAAGGGGACGACCCCCGAGGAACTCTTACTTCCCCACAGTTTACCATCATTGGCAAAAACATCTCGTTCCTGATTGGTGGAGCTTGTAATGAATCATTCTCTCGTGTAGAGTTAATTGTCAACAGTTTGGTGAGCAGTGTCTCATTCTCTCTCCATGTTAGACATTGAATCATTATTACCTAAGTTAGAAAAACCTTTACCGTTTATTCAAGTCAATCTATTGTAGGGTCTCCAATGAATGGCTCGATACTCTTTGTAACGAAACAACAGAACAAACAACAGAAACAATGCCCCTAGCCTTAGACCAATGACAGCTGCTATAATAATACAACAAAAGCACCTAACGAGAACTGCTACAATTAATTTCGGTGATAAAAGCCCTACAACAAGAGACACAGAATTAGCACGAGCTGTCCCGTTTAATAATTTTCCTCTCTTCTTCTCCCGCTGTTTTCTAAACGAAATCGAGTTGTAAAAAGAGTAGTGAAAAAATAGTAATTTATTCCCACTGCATACCCCATTACCCCATCGTGGTAGGAGGAGTCCGTGACAACTGTGGCAGCTAAGGTATGCAGTGAGAGGCAGGGTAGCGCTGTCAACCGGCACCAGGGGAGGAGGGTAGGGCGAAAAAGCTTCCTCCACCTGAACGCCGGTGAATCGAGGTAAAACCCGGGAATTCAAACGAAGAAACCATAAAACACCAGGGATTCAAATTTGCGATGCGCCAATTATGGATGCAGTAAAAATGGTCGTGGAAACATGCTCCGATTCTGTGACGAGTGTTCGCACAGTATCCCTTGTTATCCAAAATGTGTTTTTCTCAAATAAATGCCTCTTTTCTCGTCAGATGTGTAATCTCGCTCTAGCCACACTAAAAAGAAGACAAAATATGTTTTTTTCCTCCATGGAATATATATATTGCCTCCGTTTTGCATGTTGTCAGAAAAGCTTCATCCAGGTTTTGCACGGAGGGAATGACTCGCACGTTCTGGGACGTCGCGGCTTTCATTGGACAACGCGCTCGCGTCAAACTGGTTGACTTCAGCTCAGGCGATTGGGGTCACATTAACTTTGACGACTTGAGAGGCGACATGAGCTGTGAATAAGACCTGAGATAATATCGCAACATATGCAAGTACCTCCGGTGGACGGATCATTGCAAACCTTTAAGTGATATCAGATTTTTTCCAGACTCGATCTTTAAGCGAATACTATTGATAAACAATTTAGAAAAACTGAAAGTGGCTTAGAAAATGAATTGAGAGTTCTTTTGTGGCTCAAATAAATCACTACATTAGTTGCGAGATGTTTACAGGATTTTGCTAAAAGTCTGTACGACATTATAGCGGAGCTCTGCCAAGCGGAGCCCCATACTCATGTAGGAAAGAAAAGGAAACCCATGAGTTGATTTTCTCATTTTGCTCGTGGACGCGTACGCACGACGGCGACGGCGGCGACGGCAGCGACGACGACGGAGTCGCGCAACATGGCGGCCATGGCGGACATGCAGCCTTGGTTTACCATGTACTTCTTTGACCTTGGACATCTATGTTATGATCAATTGACACCTGTCAAAACAAGGTATCTGCTGACCATATCGCGGGCTCAAGTTTGCAGCTCATCGCAGTCACGTGTTTTTTGAAGTTAGATTGGATCGCGCGCTCATGTCAGGTTAACTTGTTGTAAACAGGGCCTTAATCGGGCTTTAAACAGCCCGCTCCAGGAGCTCCGCTTTTAGGCTTGGCTAAATCTATATGTTAGTTTAGGAGTTTTAAGGCTGTTTTTGTCGATTCAAAGCTTATATTGTATTTTTCTGAGTTGCTTTTGACACGGTGTCAAACGTCTTACTTTATGATAAATTTTAGTTTGTTATCTCTCCAATTTCAGGATGTTGCTTTATTTTGTCTTTTGCAAGAGTGGTTGTGATTGAATACAATGATGCAAGAGACCGCAAACGAAAATGCTGCCGGTGTACGCAGGATCTGTAAAAGATCTCATCAGCCAAAAAATAGAAACATGACAATAAAGCAAGGCTGATTACTATGTAGAAAGCTTGACGGTACGACGACATGGTAGAGTCCAAACTGAAAGCCAAGAATTGCAACCATGGACAGCTGTTTCGACCTTGTTGGGTCTCGTCAACACGGTGTAGCAGAAAGTGAAGCGATCGGCTGGCTGACCGATCGTCCACCACTTGCACAACGGTAATGACATCAGATGAAACTCAAATCCAAATGTTTGCGAATTGGCCAATGTCACAATGTCCTTATCGCGACAACGACGTGATATTCTGGATTTTGCCTATTGTAAAATGACATACGTTTTGCATGTCACATGGGCTAATTCGCAAACATGTCGTTGTCCCGTTAAGCTTTCTACGTAGTAATCAGCCTTGCTTTATTGTTATGATTGAAGCAGGTAAGTATATAATTAAACGCATCAGTTTGCTTGCTGATACGATGTCGTAAGGCTGAAGGAGGAGACTGGGAGGTTTCCATGGCAACTATGTTCTGACTGGCTGTTTTACCCTCGTTTGCGTTCTTTTTCGTTTTAATCAAGTGTTACTAAGTTTCGTTTAACACCCTTAAATAATTTTAAGAAATGATTTTGTCCCAATTTTTGGCACGGTAAGGGTTTAAATAGTGCCAGTGCGAGATTGTACCTCGTGAACGGCGTCTGGTCAATGACGATGAAGTAGCTGACGAAAGATACCATTATGCACACAGATTTAAAGTAGAAACATACTGCATATATACCTTGTCGTCGATGATCA